TCCCCACGTACCCTTTTATGGGGGCATGTTTCTAATAGGGCTTGGGGCACCCAACTTCGTATTGAGCTTGAGCTTTCTTATTAAGAACTCACAAGTGATGGGTTTTTTTCCTACTCTCTTACATGGTATCAGAGACAGTTCTAAGTGGGATTGTGCGATGACGTACCCGTTTTCTCCACGTACCCTTTTATGGGAGCCTGTTTCTAGTAGGCTTGGAGCACCCAAGTCCATATATGGGCTTGAGCTTTCTTATTAAAGACTCACAAGTGAGGGGCGTATTAGAATATCACTTGTGAGTTGTCTCACATCGTTTATATAGGGAAAATAGGCATAATTTATAAGTCTAATGAGCTATTCCTCTTTCCACCAATTGGTTTTGGGATGGAACCCCACTTGGGCTTCATCTGGGTTTTCACTGCTTATGGTGCGCTTCATCTGCGTAGGACCGGACCGCACCTGTTTTACCCCCGTTTCTTACAATTAATTAGTCTTACGGCCATGATGGGAACGGGAATATGTTCACCAATTGATATGACAAGAGATTAATACAACATTCACAATGAGTATGTAACTTAAAAGATTGCGAGATTTTGACAAGTGACTGACGATCGCATCCCCATGTGCTCATGAGCGGTAAAAGAGCGATTCAGTTGAAGCATGAATATAAGCAATGTTTTTTTAACTCGAACTTGTCCAACGGTTTCCTGAGAGCCAATCGATCCAAAATCATACCCGAGTGGACGAGGCGTTCAAACCATTTTACATTCATCCAATTGTTGACCCAGTCGATTCAACAATTAACTCGATCGATCCAAACATTGAATCGAGCAGGTTAGTCCAAAATTTTCTTTTATATATATGTACACTTAATTATTAGATTTTTTTTATTCATGTGAATACTATTTAAGATCGAATCCTATTTAAGATGAGATGCAATATTTATGATTTAATGTACACAATTTATATATACATTATTTATTTCAATATCTTTAGTAATATTTGTAATAAAATATAGTATACAAAAATATAGTATATATATATAATTTTTAAATTAGTTACGGTATTGTAATTTAATCGATGACATGACAGTTGAACAAGCGGCATGTAGGCCAAGTCAGATTTGCATAGTTCTGATATGAAAATATTGAATATAAGACATTTTATATAACGATTAAAATTGATGAGATACAAAAATAGTAGAATATTAAACTAAATTGATAACTAGAATATGTGAGTGAACAATGTTTTCAAAAGCGTAAGATAGCACGCTATAATGCAATATTTCCCAGAAATGCGACGTAGTGTTTGCAATTATGTGTTTTTGTTGTAAAAGTCTACGTTAAATGCTAACGTTGCATGCTATTTTGGGTTATTTTCACACTAAAATTTCAAAGAACAATGATCGATTGATCCAAACATTGAACTGGGCAAGTTAGTCCGATTTTTTTTTTATTAATATATATATATGTGTGTGTGTGTGTGTGTGTGTGTGTGTGTGTGTGTGTGTGTACACTTAATGTTTAGAATATATTTTTATGTATATTTATGTGATACCTATTTATGATGAGAGGCAATATTTTTATGATTTTAAGGTATACAATTTATATGTATATTTTTTATTTCATTATTTTTACTAATATTTGTAAGAAAATAATAGTGTATGGTTTTAAGGTATACAATTTATATGTACATTAATTATTTCAATACTTTTACTAATATTTGTAAGAAAATAATAGTGTTAGTGTGTGTGTGTATATATATATATAATTTTAAATTGGTTATTCGGTACTGTAATTTACTGGATGACCTGATGGTTGAACAAGTGGCGTGTAGGTCAAGTCAAATTTGCTTTGTTCGGATATGAAAACATTGAATATAAGATATTTTATATGACGATTAAAGTTGATGTGATACAAAAATAGTAAAATATTAATTAATTAAATTGATCATTAGAATTATACGAGTGAATCAGTGTTTTCAAAAGCACAGGATAACACACTATAGTGCAAAATATCCCAAAAATGCGCCGTACTGTTTGCAATTATGTGTTTTTTCCCTAAAAACCTACGCTAAATTCTAACATGGCACGCTATTTTGCGCTATTTTCACGCTAAATTTAAAATGATCAACAAGCTATTTTTTTCAAATGTCAAAGAACAAAATGATCAACAACTTATTGTTTTTATATATTACTGTTTCTTAGTTTCAAACAATAATTAAAAATTAAAATGTTTGATATTACCTTTAAACTCAATCCATTAGATTACATTAATAGCTTACACAGTAGATTTAATAACTTAAACTAAATTGAAATATAAAGTTTATTATTTTAATAGTCATATTATGATATTTATATTAAATGATTTTATGGAATAACACTTGAATATTATCATTTAGATTCAATTATTTTGTATGAAACATTTTTATTTGACTTAAATTCTTGGTTTTTGTAATTTGAATATATATAATATTATTTAAATACTTTTTTTTTTGAGAAAATAGTTATTTTCATCCGGCCCTGAAGACAGAATAAGATTTTCACATAGCAAAATAATAAGTTAGATTTTTCACCCAACAAAGTGCAGAATAAATTATGCGACATACAAACAAAGATAATTGATAAAGTGAAAAATATTTATGTGAAAAGCTATGTGACAGGCTAATGAAGATAATTGATGAAGTGCAAAATATTTATGTGATAAACTATACGACAAAAAGAGGAATATAATTGATAAAGTGCGAAACAATTATGCGATAAACTATACGACAGACAAGCGAAGAAATCGAATAAGTTTTGTATCCAATCGCCCCCTTAATATTTTTAGCTCAATCATCTAAATACAATTTTTTTTGGCATAAATTTTAGAAGGAAAAAATTTGGGAAATGAATTAGAGTTGTTTGTTAACAAATATACCAAAAAATAAAAAAATAAATAAATCTCAACTCAAAATCTAACTCAACTTTAATCCAACTCCACAATCTTCAGTACTATCAATATATTTAAATAATATCAATCAATCATTCTTACACGTCACATCAACTTTAATTTACTATTCATCCACCTACATAATTTTAACTACATATCACTTTCAATCATATATCTCTTACTTTTGCATCGAATCAATTTTCATCATTTCATATTAAATACTATTTTATTAAAAATTTTAAATCTCACTAACAACTAATTATACTAAATTTTTAATAACCATAGTTTAAAATAAAAAAAAAAATCAAATATAAATAAACTTACAAACAAACTAGCATTATTTAAATCAAATTGAAGTTCCTACATTGGGAACAAAGGTGGGAATTAGCTCAAATAACCCATTCTACAAACTTATTTGTTTAAATGACCCTCTAGTTAAACACTCATTTAAAATTTATTAAGTAATGATATTAAATATCAACTTACTATTATACCCTTAAGGCCAACAATTATTTTTCCTCTTTTCTTTTCTTTCTATTTTCTTCTTCTTCCTTCTCCCTCATTTTTTTCCCGCTGTTTCGTCTCTCTCTCTCGACAGCTCTCTCTGTTCTCTCTCTCTCTCGCAGCAAACCTGCTCTCTCGACCTTCCTTCTCGCACCGGTCACTATGGAACTATCTCTTCATGTCAATTCTGGTAGGAATTTTTGTTTAGGGTACATTTTTTTCCAACTTTTGTATTTTTTTTTTGTGTTAAGGTTATAATGTTGTTGAGCCATTTGTGTTATTAATTACATTTTTTTGAATGTTTAATATGTGTTATGCATGGTGAAAGTGAGGTTAATTGTTGAAATGTTTGTAGGATTTGGTTGTAGGATTTGGTTGGTGAATTGGTGCCCTCTATGTGTTTGATGAAATACTTGTAAGATGGTAAATTGGTGCACTCTAAGTGTTTGATGAAATGGTTGTAGGATTGAGTTGATAAATTGAAAATAATGAGACTTATATGTTTGTAATGTAATATATAACGAATGTACATTCGTTATAAAAATTTTAGAAATGACTATATTCTCATTTTATAGTAATATTTAATGAGATTTGCTGTGTTAATACCCTTTTAAAGATTAAAGGGTATCGACTTAGGATTTACATTGTGATGAATTATATGTTAGTAATATAATATATAACGAATTTACATTGTGATGAATTCTTTGAATTGTTAAGATATCTTGAAGACATGTTATGTTGTGTTTTAGTTTCCAAAAGTTGGGTAATTTTAGAGATTTAAGGACCAGTTATGTAGCCTTATTGATGATAAAAAAGGTTTAAGGAAAAGATTTAGAAAAAGAAAACTGTTGGGTTTTGCTTGGTTGGCCGTGCTGTTGTGATTGTTGAGGTTGTGAGATGTGTTTTACATGCTGAATTTGTGGTTATTTTCAGAGTCTTAAAACCAATCCTTAAAGCCTTGTATGCTTGGTTTGATGCTTCAGAAAAAAGTAGAAAAGAAAAGTGTTGGTTATGATTTTTGTTTGGCCCCATTTGTTACATGTTATTTTGTTTGCAACTCTCATGTTGTTACTCATTATGTGGCTGAGTAGAGTATTCAAATAGTTCCTTCGTCATTGATTTCTTTGTAGAGTATCTCTTTGTGCTTTGTTTGGTACTTAAATGTCCGGGTGAATATGGCCTTGTTATTTTGTTTGCAACTCTCATGTTGTTGGCTATTGCACTCATCAAAAACTCATAGGTCAAATACACGTTAGGTCGTATTTTGTAAGTAAAGTAGCATTATACTGCGAATGCATCGAGCTCCTCAGTTATAGTATCGGAATATTTATAACGAAACTCATTTTATGAGATAACGATACTTGTTTCGTTTTAGAAATTGATAGAATGCATTAAAAATTGAAGAAGAAAAATGAGTTTATTTGTTATGTGTTAATTAAAGAAGAAGAATGATGTTGAAGAAGAATTTATTGGAAGAAGAATGAGTTTATTTGTTATGTGTTAATTGAAGAAAAATGAGTTTATTTTCTTTAAATGAGTTGTCTTTGTTCTCTTCTTTTAGGAACGGAAATGGAGTTAGCGTACGATATACCTTCGTCATGCTCAGGAGTCGTGACCAATAGGTGCGACCTCAAGGTTGCCAATCATGTATTGGAGAAGCTAGATGATGCACATAAAGCTCTATTTGTGCAATCATGCTTCCGGGCACTAGTGCACATTCCCAATTTGAAATTGGCGTCTCAAATAATCCACCACCTTCTTCAAAGGACTTTGAAATCATCCGAGAACGAAAAAGACGCTGTCTGGTTCAAATTTGGAGAAAAAAAGCTAGATTCGGGTTACAAGAATTTTCTCTTGTAAGCGGATTAAAGATTGTGCATGATGTGGATTCGTACGAGGTCCCGGAAAGAAGTAGTTCGCTTTTGCATTTATTCAAAGGGAAGCAAGGGAAGCTAACAAAGAAAGAGTTGCTCAAGAAATTTGATGATTTGGTAAAGAAGAAGGGAGATGCAGATTTGATATACAAATTGGGGCTTCTCGCGGTCCTGGAGCATGTGGTTTTGTCTAACGAGTGCCGGACTCTTGTGGATAAAAAATGGTTTCATCTCGTTGAAAATTTGGAGGAGTTCAATCGCTATCCTTGGGGGAACTTGTCATACGAGTACACCGTAAAGTTGTTCAAGCGGAAGAGGTTTGATAGTATAAAAAATTCAGAGATGAAGTATTCTTTGCATGAATTTCCCCTAGCTATCATGGTATTTTTCATATAAATATATATTTATACACTTTTTTATTTATTTATGTTAATTGTATTCTTAATTTTTTTTTTGGTTGTTTGCTAATTAGGTTTATGCATTTGAGGCACTGCCTGAGCTTGGAAGAAAATTTGCTGAAACTTGTGGTGTCGGTGGCAGTCATCCGAGAATTTTGTCTTGGAAAATGACAAAACAGTGGCGAAGCGAGCAACTTAGTACGTTTTTCAACACGTCGGAGGTAATTTTTGTTATGGATAATTCATCTTATTTATTCTTATAGTTTTGAAAAAACTAATTATACTATAATCAGGTTAAAAGTTCGACGAACATTACAACCTTCAAGGGATGAAGTTCAAAGTTCATACTTGAAGGAATTCCGTATTGTCCCTGAAGATGAGGAAGAAGAAGAAGAAGAAGGAGAAGAAGAAGAAGAAGAAGAAGAAAATGAGGATGAGGATGATGAGGAAGAGGAGGAAGAGGAAGAGGAAGAGGAAGAAGAAAAAAATGATGCATCTCAGTCTGATCCACCACAACAGCAAGTTTTTGGTGCTGAAGAGATTTCAGCTATAGTCAAGGAGGTTGTGAAGGATGAGATGAGATTATTTTCTGAGCAAATGGAAATGAAGATGGACAAGTTTTCTGAGCGAATGGATGTGAAGATGGACAAGTTTTTTGAGCGAATAAAAGATTTAGTTTTTCAATCAAAAGATAGTCCATCTACCCGTGCTACTTATGACGGGACAAATGTTGATACGGAGACCGCTCGAACAGTAGATGGTGTTGAAGGTATTCTTTTAAAATAGATACATCATATTAATGTTATTAATCGAGTATTAAAAAAATAAATAGAACAAGTTCTTGTAATATTTTTTTTACATAAAGATATATTTTAAAACAAATGCAACATATTGTTGAATTACATAATTTTTGTGTTTTCTTTTGCAGACACGATCAATTCACCATCTCCCATGCCCGAGAAAGAAAAGGTGGGAGTTCATGATGACGTGGGCTTGGAGATGAGGGCAAAAGATAAAGTTGTCTTGGTCGAAGACAAATTTTCTGAGGAGGTTGTCTCACCAAAGAAGAATGAACATGGATTGGATACCGGTATGTAAAATGTAATTGTAATTATACGTAATTTGATAGTTTATTCTTTCTAATAAATGAGTATTGATTGTTTTCTTGCCTATTGTAGGTGTTGTGACCGACCCGTCATCAACGATGTTCCAAGAACGACATTTGGAGATCGAGGAAACCGATGAAGATGATGCACCCGAGTCTCCTAAGGGAAGAGGCCACCGGAAGAAAAGAAAGGCATTAGTTAAGTATGCCGAAGGGAAACTACCCACTCATGCAAGGCCGTGGACTAGTTGTACCAAATTGTATGTTCCCTTTTGTAATGTGAATAATGAACATTGGGTAGCACTCGACATTGATCTCTCCAAAAGATGCATTGATGCATATGATAGTTCAACGAGTGTCATGCGGAAGCGACAATTTGAAACGGAATTGGAGCCCATTCGAGTTGTCATACCTATGCTAATGAGGATGTTGAATGCTACCTACAGTACAGAAATTTTTTTTTTTAAATGATTACCATGTCCTAGCCAAGCAAATGGGTATGTATAACATATATTTTCATCATATCATGATTATAAATGTATTATTAAACTTGGTAAACTAATAGATATTGTACATTTATATTACAGGTTTGACTGTGGGATGTTTACAATCAAGTTCATCGAGTTTTTGCATGCTGGGAAGGATGTTAAAGGCGTAGAGCAAAAAATGATTCCCTCTTGGCGTATCAAACTAGTAGCTGAAATTTTTGCACAGCATTTTGATCCTTAATTTGTTTTAGGAGTTGAATATTCAATGGCTTGTAGGGATGTTTTGGATATCACATTTTGACTGTTGTATTATTTTTTATGTGTTTTTCAGTGCAATGAAACGAGTTGTTAAGTTTTGAAGTTGTTTTTGACTGGTGTATTGTTATTTCACGTATTTGCCTAATGTATTACCAGCATTTAATTCACCTAATGTATTTCTTGAACAGCTATTATAGAAATTTTGGAATGACTGTAGTCACGGGATAATGCATTATACAATAGAAGTAGTACATTATTATAGCTACAATTTCACTCCGGTAGATAAAAAATACATTACATTTTGAATGTACCTTCTTTATAATAGCATTTTATCAGCCCTTCGCAACCCGATTTAAGGAGTTCGATGCTGAGATCCCGAAATTAAGACGAGGAACCTTGTATTAATGTTTTTTTTAATTGTTTAAAAAAAAATTATATAAAATCCAAAGTCGCGGCCGCGGAGATCATCACGCCCGCGACATTCTGGCAAGGGTTCTGTCCCTTTCCCTGTCGCGCCCGCGGCGGTCGTCGCGCCAGCGACATACTGGCGAGGGTTCTGTCCCCTTCAGTGTCGCGCCCGCGGTGCCAGTCGCGCCCGCGACATCCTGGGAAGGGTTCTGTCCCCTTTAGTGTCGCGCCCGTGGTGCCAGTCGCGCCCGCGACATCCTGGGAAGGGTTCTGTCCCCTTTAGTGTCTCGCCCGCGGTGATCGTCACGCCCGCGACAGGAAATATCAAGCTGCAGAAGCTCGCGACGGCTGTCCCGGGCGCGACGATCAGGCTGTCGCGGTCTTTTTTTTATTTTTTTTTTATTTCATTAAATTTTTTTTTATCGATTTTAGGTCGCGACGAAACTTATTTTGAGAAATAACGATACTTGTTTTCTTTCAGAAATGGAAAGATCATGAAGAATCGTTGTATTTGATTGAAAAATAACCATAACGAATTTACATTCGTTATGGTGTATTCAATAACGAATGTACATTCGTTATGATTATTTTGCGATCTAAACACAAACCAAATCATGAATGAAATCCACATTGCAATAAAAAAAAGAAAACTGAAAATCCAACTGTCGAATCCAAAAGACAATCCAAATCCATAAGAAAATACAAATCCAAAAAAGACAAACTAAATCCATAAGTCAAACCAAATCCAAAAGATAAAACTGATAATTATGAAGTCTGGAATAAAAGTCTTTGCCTAAAAACAACGCACTGTCACTGTGCATCCGTTGCATCCGATGTTGGAGGTGGAGGTGGAGGTGGAGGTGGAGGTTGAGGTGGAGGGTAGGGTAGGCTGCGGCCTGAACTCAAGCGAACGTCCCATTGCTTGAACTGGTCGCCCCATTGTTTCCACTGATCAAATTGCCGAGACTCCCATTGGGTCCAACGTTCATCGATCCTCTTGTTGTGCTCCTCCCAACGCCTATCATTATGCTCAATGAAGGTATCGAGCCTCTTGTTGTGCTCCTCCCAACGCCTATCATTATGCGCAATGAAGTTATCGAACCAAACGGGGGCTTGTTGAGATAGCGCATCTGTAGCGCCCGCGTTAACTGGTGGAGGGAGGAATTAGTCCATCGGGTTGGTCTGTGTTTCATCGTCCTCTGCCTCGTCCTCGGTATCAGGTGGTGGCTGAGAGGAACTACCTACTTCGGACGATTTTTTCAGCTCTGCCATATATGCCTTGTAGCAACATCGAAATTTGTAATCAATGATCGTGGTGCTGTTTGAAACGAGCTCGGCTTTCGTCAAATCCCACAACACGATCTTCTTCGGTTGAAGCGGCACTTCATCAATTTGAACTTTGAAGTGCTTAGCGAGTGCGGTGACGACATTGGCCAATCTCGGAGGGCGGTTGGCGAAGATTCTCGTTTCCCGGAGTGTCTCTTTAACAAATGCAGTAATGCATATGGGCTTCTTTGCACACATTGCCGATAAGAGATAAACTTCTTTCTCACTAACCTTGTTGGAGTCTTTCTTGCCAAAAACATTGTAGCACAGAAATTTATGTACCACTGCAATGGCCACATCTTTGATTAGCCCATTTGATGGGCCCTTTACTTTGAATTTGTGGCATGGAGAGAGAACGGCCCAATGCTTGTGTACGTCAAAATCACCGGGTACTTGGCGAGACCCCGTTGTGCGGAAACCAAAGACCTCATGCATGATCTTGTTATCAACCTTGTATTCTTCCCCTTTCATCCGAAAAGTGAAAGACTTGCCTTTGTCTTGTGGTACAAATGTGGTAAAGAATTCAACCGATAGTTCCTCGCATGCCACATTGTCCATGGCTTCGTACTTCTCAAGATTGAGTGCCTTCAAGTATTTTCTCACGTCATCCGAGATTTTTAATGAGTCTAGCAACTCCCAATCAAGTGTCCTTGGGATCCGGCATTTCATCTTCATGAGGCGTTTGTACGAGTGCACCTCATCTTGAGAGAAAACTGGGAATGGAATTCCGTGCTTTTGAGCCAAAGTTTGAGTTTTGGTGTCCGAGTTCGAGTTGCTATTGTTCGAGTCCGGTGAAGAAGGCGGGGTTCTCGTAATTGCTTTTCTTTTGCCTTGGTTGTTTCCTTTGGAGGGAGCTTTTGATGACGAAGCCTTTCCCATGATCGGTTATTGAATACTCTCGAAGGAAGTAAGTGGATGCAAGCGATATAGCCTCTTACCTAGTTGTGACAATTTCTCGAACACCTTGTGTGCGCAATAATGTGTTTGAAAATTGTGAAAAAGGAAGAGAGGTAGATTCATCAAACCACAAACAATTAATTTGTAACTATACTATTTAAGCAATTTGCGAGACCTTACCGTGTGTTGAAGTCGAGAGGACGATGTTTGTCGGAATGGCTTTTGGCAATTAGGGCTTACGAGAAGACAACCTTGCCACAATAAAAGTTGTCGGAAAGAGGGAGTGTCCTCGCCGGTCGGAAACAGGTGGTGTTGTCGCCGGAGATTAGAGATGAAAGGAACGATTTTCTCGAGCGGAGCGGTTTTTTTTTTATTTTTTTTTTCTTCTCTTAAGAGTTGGTTTTGAAAAATGAATGCGGGGAAAGAACGGGCGGGGGCGGGGCGTTTATTTATAGGGTTTAGGGTCCAGGGCGCGACAAAGATCGCGGGCGTGACAACCGCGCTTCTAGGTCGTCGCGTGCGCGACACTATGTCGCGGGCGCGACACCATATATGGTGCAACATAACCGCACGACGCCCAGTCACGCCCGCGATGCAGAGGCAGTCGCGGGCCTGTTAATTTTTTTTGTTTTTTTGGTTTTCTTTTTTACATTTGTTTAAAAATCAATATAATGTTACTCGCTTTAATTCCCGGATCTCGACATCGAACTCCTTCGTTTACAACGAGTGTAATATCTTTGTGATTGATTATATGTCGAGTTTTGGTGTTTTTGATCGAAAATGTACGTAACGAATGTACATTCGTTATAACGAAAGTACACTCGTTATGGTTCATTTTCGATAAAAAACACCCAAAACTCGACATATAATCCATCACAACGATATTACACTCTTTGTGGGTACAATTCTACTCATTTTTCAGGTAAAATAACGAATTCCCAAAGATTCATCCAACCATTTTCCAAGAACACAAAAAAAAAAAAGAGAAGGATATTTATGTGTATTTCCATTTCGTTATGAGTATTTCCACGCTCGAACGGGTCCAAACTATCGTTCAAAGTTGATGTATGACCAGGAACAATGGTTTACACGTGATTCCATAAAAAAAACCAAAAACGGGAGCACTTTCGTCGCGATTTGAAACATAACGAATGTACATTCGTTATAACGAAAGTACACTCGTTATGGTTCATTTTCGATCAAAAACACCCAAAACTCGACATATAATCCATCACAACGATATTACACTCTTTGTGGGTACAATTCTACTCATTTTTCAGGTAAAATAACGAATTCCCAAAGATTCATCCAACCATTTTCCAAGAACACAAAAAAAAAAGGGAAGGATATTTATGTGTATTTCCATTTCGTTATGAATATTTCCACGCTCGAACGGGTCCAAACTATCGTTCAAAGTTGATGTATGACCAGGAACAATGGTTTACACGTGATTCCATAAAAAAAACAAAAACGGGAGCACTTTCGTTGCGGTTTGAAACATAACGAATGTACATTCGTTATAACGAAAGTACACTCGTTATGGTTCATTTTCGATCAAAAACACCCAAAACTCGACATATAATCCATCACAACGATATTACACTCTTTGTGGGTACAATTCTACTCATTTTTCAGGTAAAATAACGAATTCCCAAAGATTCATCCAACCATTTTCCAAGAACACAAAAAAAAAAAGAGAAGGATATTTATGTGTATTTCCATTTCGTTATGAGTATTTCCACGCTCGAACGGGTCCAAACTATCGTTCAAAGTTGATGTATGACCAGGAACAATGGTTTACACGTGATTCCATAAAAAAAAACCAAAAACGGGAGCACTTTCGTTGCGGTTTAAAACATAACCAATGTACATTCGTTATAACGAAAGTACACTCGTTATTGTTCATTTTCGATCAAAAACACCCAAAACTCGACATATAATCCATCACAACGATATTACACTCTTTGTGGGTACAATTCTACTCATTTTTCAGGTAAAATAACGAATTCCCAAAGATTCATCCAACCATTTTCCAAGAACACAAAAAAAAATAGGGAAGGATATTTATGTGTATTTCCATTTCGTTATGAGTATTTCCACGCTCGAACGGGTCCAAACTATCGTTCAAAGTTGAACGGGTCCAATCGTTATCAAGTAATTCGATGAAAAAAGCCATGAAGAAAGCGCGGTTGTTGTGGAAAAAACTTATAACGAATGTATATTCGTTATAACGAATGTACAGTCGTTATGGTTTTTTTCGACACAATCCACCTTAAACGATCGTGCATTCTTCACTTAATACATTGTAAGAATATTAAACTCGTCATAGGTCTATTTTTAGTCATTTTTAGT